AATTTCACCCCGGTCCTCTGGTGACAGCTGTGGCACATGAGCTCATAACACTGGATCTGCTTGATGATTTCCTGCCAAGCACTTTATCAAGGGTTTTAGATTTATTAGATTCAATACAGTTTGCTTGATGCTGGATTATTCTATATTTTGTAAAAATTACCCTCTTCTATGGCTTGATGCCTTGAGTTTATAGCCACTAAGACGTGGTTTATTGTTTGTTCTTGATTTGGAAACAAATAGTTTCCCTTTGTTCTGATTCTTTATTTTCCCTGTCTACTTTTGAGATGCTAGAGCATCATGATTGCACATAGTATTCGAAACTCAAGATTTATTATACATTGCATTTTATTTAAAAAATTAGATTATAGATCTAAGAGTAAACAATGCTTAAGGAGCAAGAGACTGGATGTGTGATTTGTACACATACACTTAATTTCCTTATATTCTTGTCATGATTATCCATGGCATTTATGAACCTATGTTGATTTATTATCAAATGAAAGTTTAAAAAGCCTAACAATTTAAAAAAGCAAGATGCACTTAAAATAATAAACTTTAAATAGAATCATCTAATTGAACATCAATAAATCTGACAATTCAGGGTGAGGGTGTTTCTATATACTTATAAGGAAATTTTAAGTCTTTCTTTAAAGTTTTTCCCTATGCTATATTTAAAAAACAAAAATCAGAAACAGAAAAAAAAAGTCTATCTCAGGATGGTTATAACAAGTGACAATGTACAAGTTTCATAAATTTGAACTCTTCTAATTTGAAAACCAAATCCAGTTGGCTAGACTGTTGTGTTTGGTTGGTGTTTTATGTAATTGGGAAATTTTACATTTAAAAGTAGTTTTCCGGTATTATGCTGAGTGAAATAAGTCAATCGGAAAAGGACAATCCTTATATGGTCTCATTCATTTGGGGAATATAAAAATTAGTGAAAGGGAATAAAGGGAAAGGAGAGAAAATGAGTGAAAATATCAGTGAAGGTAACAAAACATGAGAGACACCTAACTCTGAGAAACGAACAAAGGGTAATGAAAGGGGAGGTGGCCGGGGGGTTGGGGTGACTGGGTGATGGGCACTGAGGAGGGCACTTGGTGGGATGAGCACTGGGTGTTATGCTATATGTTGGCAAACTGAACTCCCAAAAAAATAAAAATAAAAAATAAAAAATAAAAAATAAAAGTAGTTTTCTAATTTATTTAAAAAAATCAGAAAATTCAGGCTAATACTCTTGATTGGCAAAATTAGCTGAAGCTCAATACTGGCTGTCCCTTTTACTCAAGGCCCATGTTCTCCAAAGACCTTGTTCCCAACCCTCTCCATTCATTCATGTTGGTGGGCTAGTCTTTGTATATACATTTGTGCTTGGGACCACTGACGTAGAGATGTCAAGGGATGATGTGCTAAAATCTGACAATCAGCAGTGTATAGCCCGGAAAGGTAGGTTAGGAATCCATCAATAGGCTTTATAATGTAGCTTATTTCAATATAATAATAGTCATGGTGCAAATGAGAATAATTACCTACTTAGTACTTGAACAACTATAACATTATGCAGCCATTAACCATGATATTTTCAAAAATATCAGATGCAAATGTAAAAGTGATTTGGTTAAATGCCAAAATCACAGGTCATATAGTCGTAGGCAAATTAGTATTGAGTTATGTTACAAAGAGAATTCAAACGAGATGTGCACTATCAAGGCACTACTCTAAATGGATGGATAATCATGTAGAATTACAGAGCTAAATTGGGTCAGGCAAACCAATTCCAGGACCAAAGATTCATATTTATATATTAATTGCAACTAATTACATTCTCATTGATTTTTTAAAGAACAAACTAGAGAGACCAGTATGCTTCTTTGGAATAGAGAAGAAAAAGTTTTAAAAAATGATATGAGGGGCTTTTCCGCGTGCCGAGGGGTCGCGTTAACACAGTTTTTTTTTCTTTTCTGGAACATCATATAGTTAAAGTTATATATAGTATGTGACCTTCTCACGTTGGCTTCTTTCACTTAGTAATTTGCATTGAAGTTTCCTCCATGTATTTCTATGGCTTGATGGTTCATTTTTATTTTAGTGCTGAATAATATTTGTTTGTATTTATCACATACACGTATTGCAAAACTTCTTGGTTCCTTCCAAGTCTTGGCAACTATGAACAAAAGCTGCTATAAACATCTATGTGCAGGTTTTTGTTTTTTTTTTTAATTTTTTATTTATTTATGACAGTCACAGAGAGAGAGAGAGAGACACAAAGACACAGGCAGAGGGAGAAGCAGGCTCCATGCACCGGGAGCCCGACGTGGGATCCGATCCCGGGTCTCCAGGATCGCGCCCGGGCCAAAGATAGGCGCCAAACCACTGCGCCACCCGGGGACCCTCTGTGCAGGTTTTTGTGTGAGCATAAGTTTTCAGGTCCTTCAGATAAATGCCAAGGAGCTGAAATCTTCAGATTATCCAGATGTCACTAATATCTTGGTCTGTTCCAATCCCATTGCCGCTTACCTTTTCTATGCCAAGTATGGTTTATGAACTAGTAACATAGGCACCAAATACGAGCTTTTTGGAATCCTAAGTCTCACTCCAGGCCTACTAAATTAGAGCTAGTATTTGATGAAAGTCCTCAGGCAATCGATGTGTACATGGAAGTCTGAGAAGCAGTACCATCAATTCTAACACCTCTGATTATAAAATATAAGTCTCCACTTTGACCTAGAGTTAGAAACATGCCTAAAATCAGTAGGAGCTTTTGAGACAAACAAAAAAATCTTCAAATCCCAGTCCTTCTGCTTCTGAAGTGATTCTCTTGAACAGGTAACGCAACATTTCTCCTCACTTTCTCCATCGATGCAATGATGAAAATAAGACCTTGTTGCTGTATTAAGAAATGTTGTCTGCAACTGATGAATTATTGAAAACTACAGCTGAAACTAATAATGTACTATACGTTAGCTAACGTAATTTAAATATAAAAATGAAGTGTGATAAAAAAATAAAAAGTAGTCATCACTGAGGTATAATAAATGGTCAATTGTGGTAAAAATTATGATTAGAGATAAAGAAATTAGAGAAAAGGAACAGCTCTTGAGGTTACAAAATGGTTAGTTGTAAATTGTGAATTAAAGATAACCTGATAACTGATGGGAGTTATTCTAATGTCATGCCACTTTGCTGCAACAGCAATTCTTACCAGTTCAACTAAGCTTATATTTTCAAGGATTCTTAGTTTTCTCCTGGAATTATGATCAACATAGTAATTTTTTATATTATTTTTTCTGAGAAACATTTTTAGGTAATGGGGGGAAAATGAGCCCTCTCTTAGAATATATAAAAGATATATAAAAGACTGTTTAAAATATATTTCTTTGTGGAACATATTAAATGGATCATTATTTGTATGAGATTTTAAAAACTCACTGTGGCTTATTTTGCAAATTTTAAACTGACATTGGATAGGTAAATTATGTTTAGGCAGTTTTCAAGAACTGGATTTTTGATTCAATAGACCATAGCAACTCTTCGATGTGCTATATTGTAATTCATTAAATTATCTTCTAGCACATGCATAGCTATCATGATGCTAATGGGTATTCATATTTAAATCATGAACTAAAGTTATCTTATACATATATACGCCAATTTTTCATATCAAAAAGCTTGGAACTGAAGAACTATAGAGCAAAACACAGTATTTGAACACATTTTTATGGTGTTGTGATTTCTAGATTATCTCTGTATTTGTTAAGCCTATCTGTTGTGTCAGTTATCAGTTCATTGCCTTTCATTTCCAAATGTACCTCCAATATGGTAAACAACAGAATTGGCTTAAGCATTTCTCTTTTTAAATGCACACTGTTAAGTTTCTCAGTAGAGGGCAGCAGGGGAGATTTTGCAGGAGGTAGAGACTTCCTCCAATTCACAGCACTATCCAGGAGGATAGGCAGTGTGGGTATAAGGACATCTGGTAAGGAACTACTACTTAGCAGTCACAAGCCTAGGATGTGGTCCTTTGACCCTTCAGCCTCATCCTGGCAATGATATTTCTACAGACAGCCTGGACTCCTCCGACAGGCCTAGCACAGCCTGCATAAAACTACTTGTGTCCAGAAGGTCACACACCAAGTCAGTCCTTCAAAGAGTAAGTTCTAACAACCTTTCACCCCTACTGGCACCTGGATTCCCACTGCAGATCCAGCAACCATTTTCTTGTCACATGTCATTTTCTTATCTTTGTCTATACCTCAGGAGGTGGCTGTTGTTTGCACAGCAGTTCTGGCCTGGCCATTCCAGTGGTCAGCTCTGCTCTCCAGGAGCCAAACTACATTTTCTCCAGTATTTGAACACATTTTTACAGTGTTGTGATTTCTGGATTATCTCTGTATCTGTTAATACCCTTTTCAAGTTTACCCTTTCTTAGGTACTCTCTCTCTACCTTACCACACAGAATTTCTTTATATCTTATAATGTTTGTCAGAGTCAATAATTCTTTGTATTAAACTGTTCTGCTTTAACCTACTACATGTTTTTTGTTTTGTTTTGTTTTGTTTTGTTTTTGTCTCCTGATTGGGCTCAGAGTGCTACTTTGGCTTTCTACAATTAGAAGTGAAACTTGTTCAAGAGATCATTTTATTACAATAAGGGCTATACTTATTGTGAACTATCTATGTGCCAGGCTCTTCACAATTATGATCTCACTTCATCCTCATGGAAATCTTATGAAGTGTGTACTTCATTCTACAAATGAAGTATGTAGGGATCCCTGGGTGGTGCAGTGGTTTGGCGCCTGCCTTTGGCCCAGGGGGCGATCCTGGAGACCCGGGATCGAATCCCACGTCGGGCTCCCGGTGCATGGAGCCTGCTTCTCCCTCTGCCTATGTCTCTGCCTCTCTCTCTCTCTCTGTGACTATCATAAATAAATAAAAATTAAAAAAAAAAAAACAAATGAAGTATATACAAGGCTTATAATTAAAGCAGTTTACTCAAGGTCATGACTGACTCAAGACTTAAAACGAGTCCTCTCTCAATACTATCATTGTGCTTATCACTACTATCTTAACTCCTAAACACCATAAAAGTCAACTAAAATGTCCATGAATATCTTACTTTTTTCTGAATGATTGATAACATAGGATCTTATGGGTTTATTATCCAGATAGAACGTAAAATACATATTTGTGTATCATAGCTTTCCAGGTTATGCTTGAAGCCATGAATATAAACAGAATCACCCAAGGAGAATGGAGAAAAAAAAAGTTAACAGGCTTGGAGAAGACCTGGGAAAACACTGCCATTTAAAGAACAGAGGAGCTCTCGGCATTCCGCACGAGGTTGGAGCACACGCAGGCTGCTTTCTTCTCCGCTGTTTAAGCTCCCAGCCTCGCAGCCCTTCTATTGCCAGGATGTCACTTTCTAACAGGCTGACTCTGGACAGAGTGGACTTCAACGTTCCTATGAAGAACAACCAGATAACAACCAACCAGAGAATCAAGGCTGCCATCCCAAGTATCAAATTCTGCTTGGAAAAGGGAGCCAAGTCAGTTCTTATGAGCCATCTGGGCCGGCCTGATGGTGTCCCCATGCCAGACAAGTATTCTTTGGGGTCAGTTGCTGTAGGACTTAAGTCTCTGCTGGGCAAGGATGTTTTATTCTTAAATGACTGTGTGGGCCAAGAAGTGGAGAAAGCTTATGCTGACCCAGCTGCTGGGTCTGTCATCCTGATGGAGAACCTTTGCTTTCATGTGGAGGAAGAAGGGAAGGGAAAAGATGCTTCTGGGAATAAGGTTAAAGCTGAGTCAGCCAAAATAGAAGCCTTCCGAGCTTCACTTTCCAAGCTAGGAGATGTCTATATCAATAATGCTTTTGGCACTGCTCACCAAGCCCACAGCTCCATGGTGGGAGTCAGTCTGCCACAGAAGGCTGGAGGTTTCTTGATGAAGAAGGAGCTGAACTACTTTGCCAAGGCCTTGGAATGCCCAGAGCGACCCTTCCTGGCCATCCTGGGTGGAGCTAAATTTGCAGACAAGATCCAGCTGATCAGTAATATGCTGGACAAAGTCAAGGAGATGATTATTGGTAGTGGAATGGCTTTTACCTTCCTGAAGGTGCTCAACAACATGGAGATTGGGACTCTGTTTGATGAAGTCGGAGCCAAGATCATCAAAGACCTGATGTCCAAAGCTGAGAAGAGGGTGTGAAAATTACCTTGCCAGTTGACTTTGTCACTGCTGAAAAGTTTGATGAGCATGCCAACACTGGCCAAGCCACTGTGGCCTCTGGCATACCTGCTGGCTGGATGGGCTTGGACCGTGGTCCTGAGAGCAGCAAGAAATATGCTGAGGCAGTTGCTTGGGCTAAGCAGATCGTGTGGAATGGACCTGTGGGCATATGTGAATGGGAAGCTTTTGCCCAAGGAACCAAAGCCCTCATGGATGAGGTGGTGAAAGCCACCGCCAGGGGCTGCATCACCATCATAGGTGGTGGAGACACTGCCACTTGCTGTGCCAAATGGAACACAGAGGATAAAGTCAGCCATGGGAGCACTGGGGGTGGTGCGAGTTTAGAGCTTTTGGAAGGTCAAGTCCTTCCTGGGGTGGATGCTCTTAGCAGTGTTTAGTACTTTCCTGCCTTTTGGTTCCTGTGCACAGCCCCTAAGTCAACCTAGCACTTGCTGCATCTCTCCTTGGCATTAGCTAAAATCTTCCCTCATGTCAAGATTCAGCTAGTGGCCAAGAGATGCAGTACCAGGAACCCTTAAAGATGCGCACAGCATCTCAGCTCCTCTTTACTGCACCCTGGATTTGCCTACATTCTTCAGGATCCCATTTGAATTTCTTAGTGACTAAACCATTGTGCATTCTAGAGTGCATATATTTATATTTTGCCTGGTAGAAGAAAATGAGCTGTGTTGGCTTCTCTTTTTGAAGTAGCTTATTCTGATTACAGCTGTGTCATTGTTTCACTACTCAGCATGGAAATAAGATGAAATTCCAATTGTAGGTAGGTAGGGAGACAAAGTTGGTGATCTATTAAATCAATAAAAGTATCCACTGAAACAGAAAAAAAAATAAAGAACAGAGGAAAAGAAACA